CTCACTTTTGTAGTGACCTTGTTTATTGCATTCATAGCAGGTAATGATTCTGTTACTTGATATTCTGTGTCTAGAGGATTGTTCAGAGTCATTTCCTGTTCTTCTAGATTTTCTGAAATTCTTCTGCTTGTGCTTCCATAGTTGATTGATCCTTCTGGAGGGCAAGGATAGTTCATCTTCTTCTGAAGCAGATTCTTCAAAGTTTCCTTCTTTACCCTGAAAAGCTTTAGTTTCATATTTTATAATTGATTTAAGGGCAACAGACTTACCTTTCTTCTGAGGCTCGTGCTCATCAAATTCTATCTCATGACTTTTGAGAGCGCTGATGAGTTCTTCAAGAGACACGTTGTTCAGATCTTTTGAAACTTTTAAAGAAGTGACCATAGGTGCCCATTTTCTGGGTAAACTTCTGATGATCTTCTTAACATGGTTTGCCTTAGAATATCCCTTGTTCAGAACTCTCAGGCCAACAATCAGAGTTTGGAACCTTGAGAACATAGCTTCTATAGATTCACTTTCTTCCATCTTGAAGGCTTCATACTTCTGGATGAGAGCCAGAGCTTTAGTCTCCTTCACTTGAGCGTTTCCTTCATGAGTCATTTTGAGAGACTCAAACATATCATGTGTTGTATCTCTATTTGTGATCTTTTCATATTCCATTTTAAAGATAGCATTTAGAAAAATATTTCTAGTTCTGTGGTGATTTTTGAAATCAGCTTTTTGTTGTCTATCCATATTTTTTCTATCAATCTTGTTTCCTTCTGAGTCTATAGGATGTGTGCAACCATCCAAGACTATATCCCATAAATCACTATCATGACCTAGAAAGAAAGTTTCTAGTCTATCTTTCCAATAATCAAAATCTTCTCCATCAAACACTGGAGGTCTGGTGTAGTTATTGTTGTTTTGTTCATTTGCCATTGTGTTTTCTTTTTGGATCTTTTCCTGACACGGTTAAGTGTTGCACTCAGAGTCAAGCTCTGATACCAATTGAAGGGTTAGAAAACACTTATAAGGGGGGAGGGGTGAATAAATTTCTCTTTTTCTTTCTTAAAGGCTCAACAATAATGGAAAGACACGGTTATTTTTATCCTGGATCGTTTGAACTCAAACTACTCCAGTCCACCCGCCAAGGTGATTTCGCCTTTCTATACAAGGAGTTAATTCACTATAATCCACTGATTACAATCACACAACAACTATTATGACTAACAATGCACAAGTAATCTTACAAGTGACTAACACCACTAAGACTTAAACTAGTCCTAGTCTACTTGAGAAATCTGACCAAACTTGGTCTCTCAAGGAACAATTACAAGAGTTAAATCTTTACAGATAGTGAAACAAAATTTTCTTCTAAGAAAGCTATATCACAACTATGATTTTTCACTATGATTGGTATTGCACAAAGTGTGTGTAAAATAATTTGTGAGCCTAGAATATTTTCACGTAGTTCTTGCTTCTTTTGAATTTGTTAAGTGGTTGGCTTGAAATAAATGTTCTTCTATATATAGTAAGAAGAAAATGACCGTTGCTGTCTTCAAAAGTGGAGAGCAATTAATGTTTGCATGTTTGCTTTAAGTATTGCATTTTCCAATGAACTAGCATAGACACTTGAGTGCATGTAGCCGTCTTTGCATTAAATGAGCAAATGACACTTTTTCAGAGCATGTTTCCTGATCCTTGACAAGACTGGTTAGCTTTTATATTCTTTCAGAACTAGCTTCACGTCTTGATTCAGAACATGCTTGCATTTCTTCTTATAAACACTTGCTTGCTAAGTATTTCTGATCAGCGCTTGCTTTCAAAGTACTTCTGAACATGAAAACTTGCTAAACGTTAGAAGATGCATTAACTAATTTCTTATCAGAGTCAACATCAGCACTTGCGCTAAAACAAATAGTTATTTCATCAAAGAACTTCTTCATTTATTTTTAACTCAACACATCAAAATGCTTCGGTCAAAACATTATCTGAAACAATTAAATATGTTCATCAGAGTATCAAATATATAAAATATAATTTATTATTATCATCAAAACTCTGAGATATAATCAGAACCAATATTATTCTAACATTATGCCTAGAGGATAATCAAACGGTTGGTTGCTCTGTGTCCCCATGTTTTCTTGTAAAATAAGGATCATGATTGCTTTATGGGAATTTCACGTCTCAACGTGACATTTGAGTAAAGATAGTCACGATGACCATGATGTCAGAAAAATGTTGATTGCAGCGTCGAAGCATTAAAAATGTCTATTTTCTTCTAGTAGTCTAAAATTACATTTTTGGGGGTAATTTGTTAGTTGAATTTTCGACGCATCTTAAGGCTCAAACTATCAAGGAAAGATTGATGAAATTCTTAAGGAAATTTAGTTGAGTTTATGGTATCTTCAACAAGAAGGAGGGGAAAGAGTTTTCGACATGTCTATTAAAAAAGTATTCCAAAAGTTCATGAGCGCATGATATTGTTTTGGACTTGGTCTTTTTTGGAATAATTTGAATACCATTTCGACGGGAGAAGTTGGGATGGGAATTGCGGCTATGTAACTTCTTTTTGGCCTTATCCATTTCTGAAGGACGCGTGGAAGCAAGTTAAAGGCGAAATGCATGAAAGCGAAAAATGTGTCTCTTTCTGAAGAAAGGATCGTTTGTTATAATTATTTAGTTTTTAGTATAAATAGGAGATTATATTGTTAGATTTCGTGTGTTGGCATTACTATAGAAATTCAATATAATCAAAGTATTTAAGGGAAGTGAGAAAAGAGTAACATAGTGCAACGTATATATGCAAACACCATCTTTTATCAATTCAAAGTCTTTTACATTGAATTACTTCTCAGCATTTTAATTTCTAACGAAAACCTTTACATTTCTTGCATTAACATTTCATTTTACCTTAAAGAGTTCGATTACGTCAAAGTCTTTATCGTTTACACAGAAAACCATACAAAAACTTAAGAAACTTTATGTACACATGTCCTGGGATCAATCTAGTCGATCCTACAAGTAACTTTTTTTGGAAAGCTAGCGCTTGTTTATCAAATTTCACGGTAAACACCACCATCTTGATCTTCTCTACTTTTGTTAGGCTTTCATACATTGATGTGTCACTCTTTAATGCTTTGATACACTTCTCTTGAGTTAATATTGCTTACATCTTCACTTTTCATAATTCAAAACCGTTGTCTCTGTAAAACCTCTCGATCTACAGTTTAGAATTCATGATGCTCACTTGTAAATCAAATTTTTTTGCCCCGCGGTGGACGCTACTTGTTATGAAAAGTGAGTAGAATAATTAAAAGCACTTGTGAAGAATTATTTAGAGGTCAACCCCATTAAAAAATTTGATGTGTGGAGACAAAGAATAATGACAACTAAAATATATGGCCTTGAGAAAAAATAACTCTACAATAAGACACCAATTTAAATTGGGAAAAGAAGATAAAGTAAAGACAATAAACACAATAACTTGCTTATCCAGTTTGATCAAATGATCTAGTCTGGAGAAGAAAGTAACTCTCTGATTCACTATATTTCAAGAGTTATGATAAAAGATTACAAATGAGTTACAAGAAAATAATCACATAAATTTCTAAGAAACCTATTTTCTTCACAAGAGTTTCATAATCTATTCAACAAAAAAAAAAAAAAATATATATATATATATATATATATATATATATATATATATATATATATATATATATATATATATATATATATATATATATATATATATATATATATATATATATATATATATATATATATATATATATATATATATATATATATATATATATATATATATATATAAGCCCAAGATACTTAGAAGTGTTTTACAATCCTAAATTCCAAAAACACACTCTTAAAAATTTATCTTTACCTCTCTAAGATTACGCTAGGATTTCTAAACCGTTCTCTCTGTATTCAAGTCTAAAATCCTAAAAATTGTGATGACAATAATGCAAGAGATACATATTTATAATCGTTAAAATCCAATAAATTCATACCAAACCCAAAACATACATAAAAATGAACGAATCCACAAACTAAAACAATAAAACTTAACACATGTGAATTGAAAAAACTGGACATGAATTCTGACAAACTAAACTTCTCGTTGAATCCAAATCATCTGTCGCACTACTGCCACCGACTCTGCAATCAAACTAATTTAAAATTTATACAATCTCAAAATATATATTCTTTCTCGCAAACACCTAAAAACTTTAAAATATATTTCAATAGAATCAATTATAAAAATATAAAATATGTTAACGATGTCATATTTCAATAGAATCAATTATAAAAATATAAAATATGTTAATGATGTCAAATGAGTATATAAATTAAGGGTGCATGTATATGTATCATGATTTTTGTGCAAATGGCATCGAATATTTTAAAGCGAGATAAGTCAGTCGTGTCATTAGCCGACATTGTATGCGGATATATGCTGGCTCAATTCCTTCTCGCAAACTATTGGCCAAAAGTGTGTAATATAATAACAAATCCTTTGAAATTCTAATTCATTTTCTTAAAAAAAAAATATTGATTTAGATCTAATGAAATGTGAACCGTTCTACACCGAATCAGATCTGTTATAGACAGGACAATCTCACGCTATTTTCCATGCTTACGCAAATTTAAATAAAAAAGATTCTCTAGTTTTAATTAGTAGAAGATTCATGGTACAAATCTATGTTTACATTGTTCTTGTCTCATTTCAATTCGCCAAGACCGAAGCAATGCCTTACACGTGTCACGCATACAATATAGTACTTTGACATAGTGACAACCTACGAACTTGTTGTGTTACAAAATCTCCAATATTCATGACTCATGCCATTACCTTCCACCACGTGTCACACACCATTCAACCATCATTCCCGTCTTATATATATCATAAGCTAGCCTCCCTTAATTCACATACATACACTTGACATCGACATCGACATCGACATCGACATCAACATTATATAGACACTGAAAAA